GAGAGAGAGAGAGAGAGAGAGAGAGAGAGAGAGAGAGAGAGAGAGAGAGAGAAACACCTCTAATGTTGACAAGACCCCTTATCTTCTCTATGCCTTCTTGACCTCCTTCCTTGTGGCAGGGCTGCTAGAGAGGCTAAGGTTCTCACACGTCACATCACGTAAACCCTGTGAAGAGTTCACGTGAAACTCGATGACAAAACCAGCTCCAAGTACGTAACATTTTATTTCAGCCTGGCCTCCTTCGCCCTTTCTTGTGATCATCCTTCCCTTTACTGTATACAAACCAGTCAAGTGGACTATTCAAGTTCTCAGAAATGCAGACTAATCCAGAATGATTCCCTTTCTCGCCCTCTGTTGGCCTGGAAGCAGGGTAACACTACATGAGTAATTCAAGGTCTCCAAGTGTTCCTGGGCTTGACCAAGCAGAGACTAACAGAGAACCAGCTTGCACAGTGAACAGTCACTCTGTTTGTGTCTAACTATTACCTTACAGCTTGAATGCACAATATTATCTTGTACAAAGGCTAACTGACCTCCATTTTTTCCCAAAATATTAAACAATTTTATTATATGTGAGGCTGGGATCCAAACATGCAGTTTCTTTGCAACCACATCATTTTCACCCCAGTTTCAAGGAACAATTTAACTGTGAGTCACATCTACCCAGTCTTGGTTCACATGTAAGAAAACTAATTTATTAAACCTCTGTACACAAAGGTAAGCACACCTTTATTGGATTTGAATAATTAAATTACAAAAAGTAAGAGTGATATTAAAATTCATGCATGAAAATCTTACAAAAATACCCCAAGCAGGATAAAGCTGCTCATCCCTGATTTTTCTCATTTGGTTGTTGGAATTGAAATGTGAATTTAAAATTGTTAGAATTTCTTTTAAAAAGTGATATATTAAGCTTATATATACAGAATAGCAAAATGTAGAAAGGGAAAACAATTTACAAAAGACATTTAAAAACAACAAAAAAACAAAAACCTTCACTCTTGACACATACTCACGATCCAAAAATAGTATAACCCGAACCAACCACGTCTGAACCGGCTCATGTACACACCTCCTTGGCTGTTGTCGTCAGTGAGAAAAAAGAACAAATTCACATGCCCAGTCTTTCATTTTGTGAAACAGGCTGGAGCTGAGATCACAAACCGTGGGCAGACTCTGAAAGGTGGGGAGGACAAGGGGAAGCGGTTTCACCGCCGTCTAAGTCCGCCAGAACAACGCAGAGCTACAGGTCACCGTGCAGCCGGCGCTGCTCAGGCCTTCACTCCGAAGCCTTTTTGTTCTTCTGCAGATTTCGGGGTGAATTCTTTAACAGGTTTCTTATCCTGAGGTACATCCCAGTGGACTCGGCCATGTTCTCAAATTCGAAGGGTGTTATTCCAGTGGCAAACTTGCTCATGTCAGGTACCAGGCTATGGATTTTGGAGGCTGTTGAGGGCCGGGTGTCCTGATGAGGGAGCTTCTGGCTGCCTCCATTCCTCAGGTCACAGTTGGACACACTGCCATTGTCAAGAAGAGCCTCCCGGGTGTCCCCGTCTGCAGCTCCTTCCTCTTCTTTCTGAGAGAGCACTGCTGTCTCTGCTGCTGGGCTGGAGGGAGGCTCAGGCCCCGGCGGCGTCTCTGCGGAAGTGGTTGGGTCCTGGGGCTCAGCCAGCACTGGCTTTTCCAGGGCCTTTCCTTCTGGGACAGAGAGGTCAAACTCATTTGGACAAGGGGAGGAGGCTACTGAATTCCCAGTTAAAGGTGTGTCCACAGGCACATCAGAGTCGCTGTTGCCTCCCTCGGCCTGCTGGAGAGCTGCCCAGATCTGCCTCTGCTGTTCTTCCAGCTCCTCCAGTGTCAGGGCATCCTCGTCCATGGCTGCAGCCGTGGGTCGGGGCTGGGGTGAGTCACTGGGAGTCAGTGGTGGGGTGCCCTTCGGGAGTGGAGGAGTGAAGAGAGGTGGAGGTGTCCCCTGTGGCAGCGGAGGAGGTGTGCCAGGAGGCAAGGGTGGTTGAAACTGGAAGGCCTTGCTGCTCTGAGAACCAGGTGGAACCTCCACATCTGAAATGGGAAGATGCATTTCATACAAATGTATTACTTGAACTTGGGGTACCTAGAGATAGAACGGCCCCAGATAACTGTCTTTGAGAAGGCAGAGAAGGATTAGACACGGTAGCACTTGCTGTCAATGCCGGCACTCAAAAGCCAGCCTGGCTACAGTCTCGAAAACCAGGAAAAGGGAAAACCAGTGACTTTCAGATGCCATGACCATGCCTGGACGTCTGAAGTCCCGACCAAGTCCTGAGGAAGGCACGTCAGGGCGAGTGAGTGCTCTGGATTTTGGTGCTAAGGAATGTGACTCAGACCTTGGGAGAGCGACCCCTGTGTACACGTGTACACACACACACACACACACACACACACACACACACACACACAGGACACACGAGAAATGGAGAGAGGAGGAGTTCCCAGGAGGGTGCTGCCCCTGAGTGGGGACGGCTGCAGAAGCGAAGAGGAAGTCTCCCGGAGGGAAGGAAGCCTGCTGCTAACTGCAGTCTTCTCCTCTGCGCTAACCTCAGACACCAGGCTCCCTCAAGTCCACCCTTTCCTCTACCGCATCGCTCACCCCCTTATTCCAGATCCACTGACACTTGTCAGAAAAAGTCAACCACCCTCACCTCTGGATTCATCTTCCTTAGTCTATCCTCCAAGTCAGCTGGACATCCATTTCTAAAACACCCCTCCATCTTAGGAACATTCCACGTCAATGAAAGCCTTGAGTGCCATCCTTCCCTACAGAATGAAGCCAGCACTGCTCCAGGCCTAGAAGTCTTTTCATGACCAGGAACTTCTCACAGCCTGGCCTGAGGATGGTGCAGGCCTCTAATCCAGCTGAGGAGGCTGAGGCAGAAGGACTGTCGTGTTCAAGTCCAGCCTAGACAGCTTACTGTGGCCCTGTTTCAGAACAGAAAGCAGAAGGAGCCCAGGATACAGCTCCGAGGCAGAGCGCTTGCTCCGCGTGTGCGACAGAGCTTGTTTGCTTCTCCTTAGTGACCGCTATTGTCCAGCTGCCTCTCTGCTGCTGGACCAGTCCTACAGTCCACGCGTGTGTGCGCGCGCACGTGCGTGCATGCATCTCCTACCTCCTCAAATGCCTGGCCTGCCTTGCTAGGTTTCCTGCTCAGTCCTTGACTTCACTCAATATAATTCTAAGCTGCTATCACTATGGTCTGTAATCAGCTCTGTGGCAGCGATATCACACTGCTGTTCTTTACCTACCATTCACTATATATCATATGTTTTCAAATACAGTGACAGTCTGCAATCCCTAAGTGATAGAGTAGTGTCTTGGGTAATAGTGGAACTAAAAGTATAGTATTATTATCTTTTGATTTTTCCTTTTTGAGACGGGGTCTCACTATATAGTCCGGGCTAGACTGGAACTTGCTATAGATCAAGCTAGCCTTGAACACATTAGAGATCCTCCTGCTTCTGCCTCCCAGTACTGGGATAAAAGCTATGTTACCATGCCTGACTAAAAATTTAGTACTTTTTGATAGAATATTTTTATAACTAGATTGGCCTGGAACTTGAGATTCTTTTGCCTCCACATCTGGAATGCAGGAGTTAAGGTATGTGCTACCACACTTGGTTTTATGTGGTTCTAAGGAATGAAACCCAATGCTTCATGTATCCTAGGCAAGCACTCTACTCTATGAGCTACATATCCAGTCCTTCATTTGCTTTTAAGGATAAATTATATTAAAAACTAAAAAGATTTGCCAGGCATAGTGGTGCATGCCTTTAGTCCCAGCACTTGGGAGGCAGAGGCAGGTGGATCTATGTGAGTTTTAGGCCAGCCTGGTCTACACAGTGAGTTCCAGGATGGCAAGGACTACATAGAGAAAACCTGTTTTGAAATACCCCCTCCCTGAAAAGATTTATGTCCATTTGGGTATGGTGGCACATGCCTGTAATACCAGTACTTGACAGGTGAGGCAGGCAGGATTACCAGAGTTTGAAGCCAATTTGGGCTACACAGGGAGACCATGCACCCTATCTGTCTCTCACAGAAACACACACACACACACACACACACACACACACACACACACACACAGTCTCCAAACAATAGTCAAGCATGGTGGTGCATGCCTACAACCTCGACATTTGTAAAGAGAAAGGAGACCAAGGCCAATCTGGGCTACATG